AAAAAAGTAAGATTACGGAGGGTATTTCCATTTCCAGAACGACCAGTGACAAAACTTTTGAGTACAAAATCGCAGTACCGATAGCGAGTGCATATCTAGTGTTTAAATGATAGGGCTAAAGCCGAAACAGAGCTGTGCTTCGTGTAACGTGTAATCCGGGCGCAATAGCTGACTTCGGGTCAAGCCAATTTAACGCGTGCGTCATCTAGTTTAAGTGTCACGATATGCCGCATGCGCCATCTAGTTTAAGTGTCACGATATGCCGCATGCGTCATCTAGTTTAAGTGTCACGATATGCCGCATGCGTCGCTGTCGTATCCATGTCGAAATGTGGCAGACTATGCGCATGTTCAAGGGGCATGCGCGGGTGACAGTTTAATCGATTGTAGTTAAATTCAGAAACATGCAATTAATCGTATCGAGCTGTGAGTGCACAGCATGCGCTTTATTGGAACAATTTTCATTATTTGTCGGCGGTTGAAATGTAGTTTTTATTAATGCGTACCTGAATCTGTTTTCTCATTGTCTGGGCAAGGCTGAGGACGGGACGACGATTATTCCGAAAGATCGCGTTCAATGCATACAATTTGGTTATGCATTAGCTTTTTATATTTACTTTCCCCAGCTCAATGCTACTTTCAAACATGGTCAAACTTCATGTACTTCGTATCGATAGCACTAACACCCACCACGAATGTTACTTCTGTGCGTAACACGTTATTTTGCGTGTCAATTGTAGTTGCAGCAGGATTTGCGTCGGAGCACAATGAGAAAAGGCATGTAATCTGGTCGCTTTGCAGCAAATCTTTGAGGGAGTGGCATCTTTTCGCCCAGAGGCGGCCACCGCCCAAATGTAGACAAGACATCAGCTGGCACAAATGAGTGATAAATCTGCTCGCAACTTCACTCGTTTTTTAAAAGAAAAACGCGTCGCACCTATTTTTCGTTACAAAATTTTTTTGAAAATAATAAATTTCTTAAATGGATGCTACCATCCATAACCTGCTTTTTCCAAACTGATTATACGAGAAACGTCAGCTGACCAAATACAGATGTAAACAAAGCGTCAGCTTACAAGATGAAGTGACGTAGGTGGCATATCTCAAGATGGTTTTTAACAGAAACCATTATTCGGTATTCTAAAGTTATATACGCCAGTTATAGCTAAAGGCTTATACGCCATTTGGTTTGTCCTGGTGATGCAACTTTCTGCAGGCAAGGTATTCCACAAATGGCCATTTTAAACACGGCAGCTGCACAAAGTACGTTCATAGGGTCTTTGTTGTAACTTCGGCTTGCCTTTACCTAGCTCTTCTCTAGCTTTGTTAGAGCCCGGATCTCTGAAATGCCAATGCAGTACGGTAATAAGCTGGGCTCTATGCCTCAACTACTGTCAGGGCTATTACGAGACGGATGCCTGTATGTATGAGGTGTCATGCGGGATGCGGTGGTGGCGTGGCATGGGCATGAATCCAAGACCAGCAGCCCCAGAGCCGGGCGTCCTAACCACTACACCAGCGTAGCATCCCGATCTAGTATGCCAACCATTACACCACAAGAGCTTAATGAACTTATCGCGCTTTCAACCGCTTTTTTTAATGTTTTATGTCGGTGATTGGTAAATGTGGCAGGTGGTTCCCCTGGCTGGGTATATCAATCTTGTGAAGGGCTGTTGGTAATCAGCTACTCAAGCTTTGGATCTCAGTGCGTCACTTCAGATCCCAGTTTGAGTCCTGGTAGATAGACCCAAATTTTCTGCGCCAGCAGATAAGCAATTTTACCAAGTTTGGCCGACCAAAACTGTAGTATATAATAAATCGCAGCCTTTCTCCACACTGATGTATCCAGTCAGAACAAAACCTGAAAAGCTTGACAAATCAGGAAAAGTCTAATAACAAAAGCAGTTTATGCGTGCTGTGGATTTATGAGACTCCGTGGGCGTAACTGTAAGGACGTTTCTCTGGCCCCACCAAAGCTGGAGAAGTTGAAATTACGCAAACGCCACCCACGGTTGTCGAGAGCAATCCTTTGCTGAGAATATGTTAGTAGCGCATTCGTGCCAATTTTTACGGTCAGGCTTTTGACTGCATTGTTGACTTAAACGCCCTGTAGGCTCGAAACTGTTTGTTTTAAATTTTGGAGGTATTCACCGAGCGGTCAGATTCCACGTCGCCCCTCTCCTGCGCTCCGAGGTTAACCTTTCGCCCCAAAATGCTTCCGTTGAACTGGGTTTTCGCGAGCGGAAGGGGACCGGGTTCACTCAACAAGCACTGCTTGGCACATGACGTCGCAGTTTTCATTTTCTTGCTCTTTTACCTGCGAAATAATTAGTCCGAACCGTCTTTAAAATTAAAATGATTTTAATTTCCCTTTGAACTGCCTTGTTTGAAATTTGGCTGTAGAAGGTTGGGGGCAAACTCACTGTTGGAGGGGGGGGGGGGGAAATCAGACATGGGGGGCAGTGGCCCACCAAATACAAATAGACACCCGTGTATGGTCATATAGGAACCTTACTATGAAACACGTTAGCCATAGGCATAACATGAGCAACGCAATTACATAACAAATGTAATGAAAGACCAGTGGCTGTTATTTTGACATTTAACGCAGAAGCAATTGACGTCCGCGTGTTCTTACATGCAGGCGCGAGAGCTTACACTCATGCCCACCCCTTGCTTCCACCGTAAGCGCTACGATCACTAATCACATACTGTGATCACAGATTTGCGGTACGTTCTTCCCACTACACCCCATGACCGTATTGACGGATTTGGTTCAAAGTAGCAGCAGCCGGGTAAGAAAATGCACCCTTTCCTGCGTTGCGTATCTCACCACATATTTGGAGCGTACGTGCACCGCACGGTGCTCGGCGGGAATGCAAGTGGGCGCGGGGAAGACGGACCAATCAGCATTCATCAGTCCTTGTGGCGTTGCGAATCCGGTTCCTCTTCCATTGCGCAGGAATACTGGGCGCATATATATTTTCGTACATGCGTTTCTAGGCAACCCATGTAAACAACGTGAGGAATAGTGCTGACCGATTCCGTTTGGTTCGTCATATTTCACCACATTGCCGGCGCACAAGTCACGTACTGAAACGCATTTCTATAACCTAGGTTGGACTTTGGCATCACAGCATTACTATGGGGCTTGGGGGTGTTTGCATTTTGTGTGGGTCTTTCTTTGGATTTAGTGGTGCTGCTATTGTCTGATCACCCCTCGCGTGGGGCAGCCCTTGCAGTCTGATCATGCTCACAGAGGTAAGTTTTGGGTGTAATCGGGTAGATTGAGTCTGGTTTTACACAGTTATTGTGTGTTATAACATTTGGATTGGCCATGTGTATAACCGCCCGGAGTTCGAAGTGCATACCCAGTAATTTTTCCTTGTATTATATTGTACATTATATTGCAATATACAGTAGTGTTCCTTTTTCTTTACATCTGCTGTTTTGATGGAAAATTGACTATTTTAATTAATC